GGACAACCTGAGCTGCTTTTGCTGTTAAATTTGCTACTATTGCTCCTAATATTATGGGTTTTATTTCTTCGCTATACATGAAAAAGCAAATTCTGATGACTTTATGAAATTATGTAAGCCTTCAGAGTCTTGTTTGTCAAACTTTGGTAATATTTGAAATGCTGCCTCTAAAGAAGTAATTACACTCATATTTACTAATTCAGTACTTGATTGACACAAATTTGGTACAAAACTGTATGATTCAGTACTACTATCAAAAGAAATATCTTCCTTAACAATGTTTGAACTTAATTCTGCTGGTACTCCTAACCGTCTACGTTGTATTATCAAATGTAATGTATTCCTACCAGTATCAGGATTTTGAAGTCTTAACAAAGTACTCTGATTTTGTACTGTATTTTCTACTTGGTTGCTAACACTGACCCTACCAGATGTTGTTTGACTTGCCCTACTATCATCTGAATCAAATGACCTATCTGGAATAAATGTTTCGTCTTTACTATCGCTCTGTGTTGAGTTATTAATACTACCACTTTCGTCACTCATCAATTAAATATAAATAGAAAAATATGGATAGAAACTTAAAGATATGCTTAAAATATATATAAAAACCAACTTACAATACCAATAAATTTAACATTATTGAAGTTGTTCCTATGTTGCCTTTGAAAAAGTTGAATGCTGAATTTGTTTAGAATGCTCTGTAATTGACTGGAATGCTTCGTAGTTGACTGGAATGCTCTGTAGTTGACTGGAATGCCTTGTAGTCGAATGAAAATGCTTTGTGGTTGAATAAAATGCTCTGTAGTCGAGTGGAATGATCCGTAGTTGACTGGAAATGCTTTGTAGTTGAATGAAATGCTCCGTAGTTGAATGAAATGCTCCGTAGTTGAGTGGAATGATCCGTAGTTGACTGGAATTAGGCACCTTGACTGGTTCAATAACAATTTAACTCACCCTGATTGAATAAACGCGTCTTGTTTGAATTAATGGTTCTTTTGATCCGCTGCCACCAATGTTACAAGTCGGTTGACCGTAGCCTCGTACTTGTAGAGTTTGTAGGTAGATTTAGTAAATAAAGTAACACACACACGGTTTAATATTCAATTAATAAAGTTTATTGCGTTCTGAACATATGCAGACAATGGCACTCTCCATTCTCCACACCCTGTCTTACCATCTTAACGTTCCTTATATCTAAACTTATCTAGGACAATAGCTATTATATAAAAGTGCTTACTCGCAGTTTTCGGGATTGTGCCTGTTTACACTAATTTATAATAATCATTTTATTTCATAATTCTCAATGTTTTACAAATACTGCTACATCCTTACTTACTTCCTATGTTTAATAATACTAATCCATAACAATATCATAATTAATTACATACGTATCTATTAATATTGTGAAATTATAGTTCAATAATACTTTTATTAAAACTACATTTAAATCTTTTTCTATAATGCTACATTGTTTTTTTTTGTGTTCATTGTTTGCATTATTGAGGTTTATAATACTTTCATCATGTTAAATTTTAAATTTTAAAACCTAACAAAAATTGTTATTATTATGCTTTTGTTGTTGCAGCATATTTCTAATTTTAATATGAAACTATCTATTCAATCGATTGTTAAATTGTTGGTATATAAGCAAATTGCTGTGATTACACATTTATAAGTATTATATTATATAACTTTTGAATAACACCTTTATTTTGCATCTTTAACAACATCTTATTATTTGTATACAAGAATATTGTAAAATTTTACTTCTATTCAAAATTATTTATTTTTTGAAGTTATACTTCTTTACGCAGGGTAGTGAGGAAAAAAAAGCGAACGGGCGGCCGTACGAACGCGAAAGCGTACATGTCCGTAAATAAATAAATATTGTCATGGTAGTGTTGTTATATTATATATTAAACAAGCGTTGCGAGGTAAGTGGTGGTCGTTAATTTATATATATAAAAATGGAGACAAAAAATTCGAAATTGCATCAGTTGAGAACGGCTGGGCCGATTTTGCTCTGATAGAAAATGTCAGGAGCGGGTTTTTACGAAAGAAAATTTTTAAAAAGTCAACCGAATAATTAGAAAAACTGCAAAAACTATTTATTGATGTCTGGGATTTGAACTCGATACCGTTGTCTTTATTTACTCTATGGTGTATTATATTATATTGGTTGCTATTGGTTAATCGGGCATGTTTGTTGATTTGTATTATTATTTTTTGTCAATATATCTTATATATGAATGAATGATTGTGTGTAGATTAGACCTATGGGAAGAAGATACGGTAATTTAAAAAGGGTTAAATTTGGTTTTTTTGTTTCATCGGATTTTAGTACGGTTAGGTTAGGTTAGGATTTATAGGTAGGTGGAATTAAGTAAAAACGTTAAACTTGGTATAACTTTGGTACTTTTTGAGTTAAATCATACACTTACGTACAAACAGCACGGGGTCCACGATCTACCACAGGTAGATTGCCTACCTGATAATATACTGCTGCGAAACAGAATTTTTATTCCGGGCAACAGAAAAGTTAAGATAAATCTATAATATCATACACCGAATATTAAATAACGCATTGAACAATGTTTGAGTCATATAGAGTTGGTACATTTAACGGGAAACGAAGTGCACGGGATCAGCTAGTATTATATAAACGTTGCAAAATAAAAAACAGATTCATCTATCTTGGCCCATACTAATTAATATGAATAATTAATGATCGATTATTATTTATTTTCATTATTATTATTCACTCACAAATCTATTGTCTGGATAAAAACAATACTACAAACAATTATCCATCGATCTGTCGAATAAAAATATAAAAAAAGGCAGGTAAGTGGATGTCGCTCAGCTGTACAGTAGGTTACAAGTTGGTCATTGTTTAATGGATTGTATTAAACATGAATTCAATGATATAATATCATTGTATAAGAAAAACGATTCTGAACGGAGACGGTTTGTCAGTCTGTATATTTTATATTGTCATTAATTATTTTATTTATTTAATTATTATTTTTTTTATTCGTTGCTACGGTGATAAACAAATTGTTAGAAATTAAAATCTCATTTTAAGCGGTTTTTCGTAATTTTTCGGTGTTTTTTCCCGTGGCATTATATAACTATTGAGAAAATCGAAAATGACCTCTCTAAAGTACCATCTTGGTCCAATTTACTAAAATATAAGGTACTATATGTTGAAATCAAAGCACTCCTTCTGGTAGAAATTTTATATACAGGATATAAAAAAAAATAAAAAAATAAAAAAAAAATAAACACCATTGTAAAACCACTAGCTTCCTCGCTCCGCTCAGAATCTAAAAATAATAAAACTATCAATAATAAATAATTCCGGATACTTCTTCTCATTTTTTAAATTAATTAATATTTTTTCTTTCTTTTTCACTCACTCACGTGTACCATTTAAAAGAAGTTTAACTTCTCGCGCGCGTACTGGTAACACAAATACTTTTTTTTTATCATTTATAATCATGTTATCATATATTATTTACCATTTATCTTATGGTTGACTTGGGTTTTATAGTTTTATTTATCAATTATTTGTAAAACTGCATAATTTTACATACTTTTTTTTTATTAAACCTTGGCATTGACAATTGTAATATGATTAAATACATGTGACGAAATAATAGATCAAACGATTCAAACAAAAATTATGGTCCATCAACCGATAGGTACACAAAAATGTTCGACCAATCTAAGGACTGGAAAGAAGACTTCTAAATCTATATCCAACGACCACTTCTTTGAGTGAAGACCAAAAACAAAGCGTAAAAATATTTATTTTTGTTGACCACGTAACTCCATCACCATCAACTTCCATTTAATTTTATATATAAAACACATATATAATTTAAATTTCATTCTCAACTGCAATATTTACTTAAAAATATGAGGACATATTTTATGTTACATAGGGGTGTGTAGTATCATGCATAATATATAAAAAAATATTGTTAACTAGCTTAAGTAAACATTCAATGTAATACAATAACAATTAGTATAATTTTAAGCATAGTCAGTAAGTATAATGCAACTAGGTTAAACTTACTACCAATAGTGCTTCGATTGTAATATTAATATATAAGTAATATGGGAAGACAGATAGAGGGTCAGTCAGCGGTGATCGTGTGTTTCGATCGCCACTGGACGTAAGAGTTTTAATAAAAGTGCTTAATAATAATTGTTCTTTTTTTTTGTGTACGTCTGTCAAACGGCGTATACGACAACGTATTCGAGAGCTTACGAACGCATAATTTAAAGATACAGCCAGATAAATGCGAGTTTGTCAAACGGGAATGTATATACTTAGGGCATGTCATATCTGACATATGAATAAGACCCGATCCAAAGAAAATCCAAGCTGTTCTTGATTTCCCTGAACCTAAAAATGTAAAACAAATTAAATCATTTCTAGGATTATCTGGATATTATCGGAAGTTCATTGAATGCTACAGTTCAATAGCTAGGCCTATAACGAATTTATTAAAGAAAGATGTACCGTTTATTTGGAATGAAGACTGTGATAGGGATTTTGGAAAATTAAATTACGCCTTATGTACGGGACCCGTATTGCAATACCCAGATTTCACGAAAGAATTTACATTAACAACAGATACTAGTGGGAAGTGTTAGGAGCCATACTATCTCAAGGGGAAATAAGAAAATATTTGCCCATAGCTTACGCATCAAGGACTTTAAGTCCAAGTGAATTTAATTACTCCACAACAGAACTAGAATGTTTAGCTATCGTTTATGGAATTAAGCAATTTAGACCTTCTTTATATGGAAGGAAATTTACTATCTTAAGCGATCATAGACCATTAGATTGGTTATTTAATTTAAAAGACCCCTTATCAAAATTAGCTAGGTGGAGAATACAGTTAGAACAGTATGATTATGTTATTAAATATAAACCGGGAGTACAAAATGGTAACGTAGATGCTTTATCAAGAATGTTCACTATACAGGATATAAAGGAGAAAAGCTATAACAATTTTCTTGTAAAATTCGAAACCACATTGATAACCAATGGAAACGTTAAGGAAGTACACAGGGAATTGTTAGAGTCACCACCTGAGTATCACATATTTACTGAAATAGAGAAAAATTATAACTTCAGGACAGGAATCAACTATGAGATAAAGAAAAAAATCGGGGATAATGTTATCTTGAAATCAAACAAACAAGTAGGCAAAGTAACAAAAGTTAAACACGAAGATCGTTTGTATCCATGGAATACCAGAGACCATATTAACTGACCAAGGGACAGATTTTCTAAGTAAAACATACACAGAAGAATGCAAACTTTTAAAAATTAATACGATAAATACTAGCCAGTATCATCCACAAACCAATGGGGGATTGAAAAATCACACAGAACTTTAGCCGAATATCTTAGGCATTACGTAGACAAGGATTTAAATACCTGGGATCAATTATTACCTTATGCGTCATTCGTTTACAATTCGACAGAACATTCATCCACAAATTATCAGCCATATACCTTGTTGTATGGAAAGGAAATAAATATTCCAGTAAATTTGAGAAGTAACCCCGAACCTAGGTACAATTACGATGATTACCTGTATGATTTGAAACAAAGTATTCAGGAATCTCATAAAATCGCTAAGGAAAGATTAATCAAAAAGAAAATCAAATCAAAAGCTAATTATGATAGTAATGCACATAGTGTAGAGTTGCATGTAAAAGACTATATTGTTAAGAGATAATACCCAAAGAAATAAATTGACACCTGTATGGAAGGGGCCTTTCGAAAATTTAGAAGTGTTAGACACTGAAAATATTGTTATCCAAAGGGGAAGAAGAAAGGTCACCTTACACAAAAATGAAGTGAAAAAGTGTCATGAAAATCCAGATTAAGAAATTATTAAACCATACATTACAAGTATGAAAATCTAATTAGTCATTTCCCTGGTTAACAAAAGGAATTATTTTACAGTTTTTACAAAAGAACTTTTGTTGTTTGGTTTGGAGCATGGTTACTCGACCTTTAGTAAGACAGTAACCATGTGACATAAAAATGGATAATATACATTTTGTTATAGTAAATTAATATTACTGAAATTATGCCAGTGCAATAAAATACTGATTATTAACAATAATGTAAAGATAAATTTAAACACGCACTTATTAAAATATACTGGTTTGTAATCCCATTGGAGATTATGAAATATTTGTAATCATTAAATATAAATTATATATAACATGTAACTTAACATGAAAAATATTATTGTATTCAATACTATAGTAATATAGTATGTTATTGTATTAATTAAGGTAGTATTATTTTAACCAAAATTTTAATTATTATGTTATTATGTTTAAAAATCAGATGAAAAACATATTATATATTGTTATGTAAATGAAACTGTTATGTTACGAAAACAAAAATGTTGTTATATAAAAATATTGTTATACGAAAATATTGTTATGTTATGAAAAATTTTCTTTTGCGACTTGGTCAGCTTGAAGGTCAAGAAGTTCCTCTTGGAAACCTCAAATATCTTCACCAACTTGGTGAACAGAAATTTCAAATGGATTTCTCACCCAACTGTATTTACTGAGCTCTGCGTTTTCTGGTATATATCGATCGAGTTCTAACTGTAATTTGTTCAAGTACTCTTGAAGCAGTAATTTTATGTCATCCAATGTAATTTTGGTTGAATCTTCAAGAAATTCACTTAAAAGAGTAAATGTGGCAATTTTTCCTTGAGATAGCTTTTCTCGCCAAAATGCGAGCTTTTTTTTGAATGAGGATATTTTTTCACCAATATCGACCATAGTTCTATTCTGCCCCTGCATCTCAATATTCAACTTATTTAACCGTCCAAAAATATCGCTTAAAAAAGCCAATTTAGAAACCCACAAATCGTCATTGAATTTATCAGCCAATGAGTGTTTTTTTGCCGTTAGAAAAATATGTATTTCTAAACGCAAAGACATAACACGCGTAAGAATTTTTCCACGGGAAAGCCAACGTACATCCGAGTGATAAAGTAAATTTACAAACTGTGCTCCCATCTCGTCACACATGGCATGAAATATTCTTGAATATTTGCTCTTGCTTTTATAAAACAATTTGAATTACGTCTTGTAGTACTGAATTAAGTTCTGGCTGAATTGCTCTGATTGCCAAATTTTCTCGATGTAAAAAACAATGAATTATAACAACGTTTGAATTAACTTTCTGAACTCTCTTACAAAATCCTATTCGATTTCCAAGCATTGCCAGTGCACCATCCGAACAGATTCCAACACAATTACTCCAATATAGATTATTTTTTAGAAAAAATCCATCAACTTTATTAAAAATATCCAAGCCAGTTGCAGTTGTAAGAAGAGGCTCACAAAAAAAAAAATTCTTCATGAAAATCGTCAGTACTTCGATAGCGTATAAATACCATCAATTGTGCGTTATTCTGAATATCAACTGATTCATCAATTTGTATGGAAAATTTATTTGCTGCAATCACTTGATGTAATAGCTGCTTTAAAATATTTTCAGACATAAGATCTATCCTACGTTTAATCGTGTTATCCGAAAGTGGGATTAATTTTAATTTATTAGCAATGTCATCTCCGCAGACCGTCCTAACCATAGAAATAGCTGCGGGCTTTAGTTCCTCTCCAATGTTATGTGCTTTTTTGGAGCGTGCAATTTTCCAAGCAACGTCAAATGACGCTTTTGTAGTTTTTTGTAAAGAAACTGTAAGTGGATTGGAAGGACAGTCAAGGCGCATACGTTTTATTTTATTTTGGTGTTCCTTCCAAAATTGTAATGGTTTATTAACCAATGTGGGATGAACAGTGTTAAGATGCCGCTTGAGTTTATTTTCTTTCATTGATTCATTCGACAAGACTTGTAGGTAGAACACACATTGAAAACACACAAACCCGATCGATCTTTGATTTCAGTAAAACCAAAAAAAAATCATCTTTATACGGCAAAGCGCGCTTAGCCATTACAAAAAGTAAAATCACGAAAAACTTTAATTAAACCAATAAACACGCACTATACGCAGCTAGAATAACGAGTAGTTACGTATGATGAGAACGGAACGACTGATTGAAAAACTAATAAATACATTTAACAAGAATCAATATGAATAATATTCGTAAATATACGAAAACTAAGATAAGCATTTCGTGAAATACCTAATATTATGAGCAAAAATATAAATTATATACCTGTTACTACGCTATGCGGGTACGACCACGCACAGCCCGCGACAGATCATTTAGATAATCTATTTCAAATTATTTTTTCCTCGATCATTATAATTCTTATTATTAGAATATATCAGGATTTTTTTATTTTTTATTAATAATATGTAAATTGTAAGACGTATGTAATGATTTCGCGACACACCATAAAAACCTCCGAGACCCTAATTTGGGTCGCGACCTGACGTATATATTAATAATAGTAATAATATATTAAATAATATATTATTTTATATTGTATTAGGTAAAATACGATTATAATATATATATTATACTCAATAATAGACATAAATGCTGCAGGGAGCACGTAACCCCGGTAATAGTAATAATATCAGCATCCGAGCGGCCAAATCAATAAGAACTAATTAATGGTACAGCGCGAACACGTGATAGGTATACGCGCGCAATATCCATATTCTAGGAAAGACAAAAAATCCATAAAAGTACAAATAGATTAGGAAACATATAATCTGTAATTAACATTTTTTCATAAAAGACGTCAGAAATGACCTCAGGTGGATGCGGCGTGTGTACCATTTTTATACTAAAAATGCCATAGGAGGGATCTATTATGAATTCCGACGAAATACGTCGATGGAAAAGTGTCCATCAGACGAACACCAGCAGAGCAGCCACCAAGTCGATACTAAGTCACATATCGTTTACCACATTTTTATAAATTAACTATTTGGACTTAGTCTATTTTAAGTGTTAAATAAATACAAATAAACTATCATTATACCATCAACTTGTTATTTTATTCAAAATACAATCAAAACTGAGTTGAAGTGATTGGCCCGTTACACCACCATAATGTGCTGGACTCTTAGATATAAAGTACTTAATAATTTATATCTATAATAACTAGACTTCAATGTTACTGTAATCATGTCAATCAAGATTCATGACAGTTATTCATCCAGCAAGTAAATTATTTTACTTACTCAAGTATTCTTAAAAAAAAAAACCTTACAGATTCAAAAGAATATGAAACCATTTTTAATGCATTATATGCCAAGCAATTTAATGAGTGTTTATACAGTGATGTTGAACCGTGACAATGTTGTATAATACACAAGTGGCCTAAACTTAAAGAGATGTTTTTCAAAAATATCTCATGAAAATTTTAAAGAATACCATCTACCTAGATGATAAAGTTCTATAATAAAGGTATACTATTTTTTTTTAAATATCATTAATAATAATCACCTAAATTATTGTATTTAAATGTCATAAACTTAATTTATAAACTATTTTCCAACAGTACATACATTTGGGGCTATTGATTTGGTCCATTCCAGTAATGATAGTTATGATTCATCATTAAATAATATTATTATCTTCAACTAATTTGTACTTGTGAATTGGATTATCAGAGAATAATAGTAAAATACCATGTAAGTTGAATCATCTAACTTGTAACCTAGTACTTTATATGTATACTAGATTCTGGCGTTTGTCATCCCACCAACGGCGGAAAGACTGTGTGGGCGGTGGTGCATCTTTGTCGGCGATGCTGGGTTTTTTGATCCGGCCTGCGGCGGGAATGGGGGGGTCATCGGGTATTGTGTTTTGTCGTGTTGGCTGCACTGGTTAAGCGGTAATTTTTGAACTCGGAAGAGTGTCTAGTCGTAAGTCACGCGATTCAAGTCGATCGTACAACACAGCCAGCCAGGTAGGCAATCCGACTACGTCGGATCGCAGTCCATGCCCCGGGCGTGTATGTCCGGTTCTCGTATGTGTGTTGAAATCGGAAATTCGGTTTCTCTGAGATTGAGTGTCTAGCTATCAGTCACTCCGGGTGAAAGTCGATTCCCGAGTGTTGGTTGCAGTGGGGGTGTAAGTCGCTCGTATGCAAGTAGCTAGTCAGGTAGGCAATCCGACTACGTCGGATCGCAGTCCATGCCCCGGGCGTGTATGTCCGGTTCTCGTATGTGTGTTGAAATCGGAAATTCGGGTTCTGAGTTTGAGTGTCTACCTATCAGTCATCTCGGGTGAAAGTCGATTACCGAACGGACAATCCGCCTGAGTAGTATAGATTTGTATGTTCACAGTCTTTTTTTTTTTACCGCGGTAATTTCACAACATTCAAGTGAGGATGTCCCCCTTGGACACAATGATTTTACCGCGGTGAAAATCACGGGGAGATTTCACACTCGTTGTCCACCTATTCGCCCCTCACACAAAAATATTTACCGTATAACATTTTACAGGGAGATTTCACAATTTTTGTCCACGAATTCTCCACTTCGACAAATTATTTACTGTATTTTAAAATTACAGGGAGTTTGTACACACAAAAGCGTTTGTCAGAAAAGTAGAAGGACTCAATATCGGGTTACGAATACTTTTTTCATAGTACGATTCTTGAAACGATGTATACATATTATACAATAAGGTGAAATTATTTTTCGAAAAATCTAAATTCAAATTATCGTACGGATAAGCTATCGAGTTCAGAAATACTTTGACGTTTGTTAGATTACAACGATCGAATATACTACAATCTTTCGTTAACACATTTTTGCGTCCTTTTTGTAATCCAATTATGATAAATCGTGGTTTTTCTAATTTTGAAGCAGTTTTCAAATTCCATACAACTTTTTTAGTTGTTCCGAGTTCAGGATATTCAAAAGTTTCAAAAGATCTAAAAGGAATAAACAAACTTTTTTCTTTTTCTATAAGTTTCAATAATTTTAACCTTTCTTTATCGTCGACCGTTATATGTGGGACCTTCCAGGTTATTTTGTTTAAAATGACTTTACCTTCAGAAGCTGTTACACCAGTTTTACAACTTAAAGCATTTAAATCGCTATGACTTCGGGTTAATATTAATTCCAATCTAGAATTCACTAATATTCTTTTATAGTCTTCAAACAATCCTAACCAATATTTCAATGTAATGCAAGCACTAAATTCACCTTTCTCATTTTCCGATTGCGTTGCGTTTTTAAAATTCTAGCCAGCATTTTCATAACAATTGTAGTTATCTGGCGTACCGGATAAGTAACCTTTCAACGAGCTAGTGATTCCAAGAACACGTGTGCTATCTACTTCTATCCCATTGATTTCCAATCGTATTTGTTCGAAGAGGTAAGAGTAACCGTTATTAGTTAGTTTCACTTTGGTAGCATCAGTAATTGTTCCTTCCAAAAAAATAAAGCTTTCGTGTAGATATGGGTAGACATCCATTTGCTGGATTGATATACGTATTTCATCATTATTATTAAATTATGTAGTATACGGTGTGTATGAATGATATTCAATTTTCGTAATTTTAGAATCCGTTTCGTACTGTGAAGTTATATCTAAAATATCACTCTCAGGCATTCTGCTTTAATTGATATCCCAGAGCTTGCAAATTTTTTTTATTTTTTACCGTTAATTTTTTTATCTTATTTGATGTTGCTGGTAGCACTTTAGTCTTATGACTAGTTGTGCTGATCCGAAGTAGCGGGTTTATATTGAATTTCAACCCCATCTCAAGACCCGTAACGTTTAATATGTAACACGATTGTCAATGCCTCACCAAAATTATCAATCGGATTATGATCTTGATCAACTAATTGAACGGTTATCGAATCAATATTTGTTTTATTCAATTTGTAATATATTAAATTTGGCGGTGACTGAATTACTTTTGACCCTGTCCTTTTACTCGGGAAAAACTCATAAATCGAATGACTTTGAAGATGGTTGTTGAATGATCCTTGAGCTATATTGCACATTACTTTTATAGAATTAATTGTGTTTAAATTTACAGCTTTTTCCGATCGAAGAATTTCATTTTATGGCTTATATACTCGTTTTTCAAAACAAAATACAGGTGCTATACTATATGGATACTCAAAGTGTAGTATCCCATTACATTTTATATACGATCTGAAATCATTAGGATCAACCGTAATGTCGAATGTTAAATTTATTAAGTTTTTCTTATTATAGACATCTATTTGCTTCTTAACTCGTTGCTTAATATCTTCAATCTTATAACAACCCTCTTCCAATGTAATAAAACATATCATAGAATCATTATTGTTTTCATTATCAACTACTTGTATAGAAAATTTATTATTATTTTCATTAATATTCGGGAATGAATTAAATGACTGTAAACATAACAAAGCTATTTCTGAGTCCTCGTAAAGGTTTATAGATGGAAAATAATTTACAGATAATATGGTAGCATTCCCAGTTAAACTTAAAGTAACTGACTCGTACATTACAAAATCTAAGATATAAATTTAATGATGAGATCCGTGACGTTTAATATGTAGAACAACTGTTAACGTCTCGTGAAAATTGGATTATTGTTTTGGTCAACTAACTGAACCGTAATTGAATTAATATCTGTTTTGTTTAATCTGTAATACGAGGGACGTCCAGAAAGTAATGTTACAACATGTGTTAAAAATTGAAAAATGGATATATTTAAATGAAATTTACAAGATAAGTGTCAAAATATGTCATTATTTTTCTACATAATCGCCATTAAGATCAATACATTTTTGAAGCCTAGGGACCAGTTTTTGTATACCCTCGTCGTATACCTTCCGCTCCACCACCCGAAGCCAATTTTCGACAGCATCCTGGACCTCCTCGTCATTTGGAAATCGTT